TCAATAAATTATTATATTTTTATTTTATTAGACAAAAAAATTAAATTTATTAAAAATAAATAAAAATAATAATTAAATTAAGAAAACATTACATAGTAATTAACTCTTATGAAAAAAATATTAAAATCCAAACTTGAAAACCCCTACCTCAAATAAATATTTTGAAAAGCCATCCTTTTGCATTTAATGATTTATTTATTTATTTATTTTAAAACATAGGGAAATTTGGAGGAAATGAAAAATAAAAACTGCTATTGCAATTTGAATTTTAACGGATTTAAAAAGTCACACATACTCAAACCAAGGCAACTAAAGTTGCGGGTGCACATTTAATGATTTATTTTTTAAACTAAAAAATAAACCACATTTTAATATATCCTTATTTTTTTTTAATATGTTGATTAGTCAACTAAAATTAATATTATTGTCTCAAGATTTAATAGAGCATTTAAGAATAAGCAAAATAAATGGTAAATTACTAGTTCTCCTTTCTCCACCATCTCTGGCTCTCCAGCAAACAAATTAAAATCATTGAAAACACAAGCAAATGACATTAAAGCCAAGATTCAAGACACATATAGGCTTAATATTAGCAAACAAATTTAAGTTTTCATCAAATTCAAAATCATAGACCCAAGAATAAGATTTAATCAAACCCCAAAACTATAGACCCAGAAACAAGATTTAATCAAACCCCAGAATCATAAACTCATCATTCTTGATCATCCCTACCCTTACCTAGAATCAATCCATCTTCTCTGTATCAACCCCCTCAAAACATTATGGAAACAAAACAATTCAAACAGACAACGAAAAAGATTAAAGAAAAATTAAATAGATTTGGTTTTAATAGATCATGTTGGCAATTTTTATACTAAGAAGAATTGATCATTAAATCCAAAAAATTATAATTTCACTAAAAATGGAGTTCAGGCAAACCAAAGACAACCCATAAATTGAAATTTAAAACTCGAAAAGTCTGTAAAAAGGACCAAAAACCCAGATTGACTTCGATTGCAAGGGAGTTTTTGGTTACTCACATAAGGTCTTTCGCCGACAGCAAGGGACTTACCCAACTTTGTTGGCACTGCTATCAACTCCTACAGCCCCAAATTAGTGAATCCATGGTCTTAGTAGAAATGCCATCAGCTACACTCAGATCTGAGTATTAGAGAACAAGGAGAGAAAGAAGGCAAAGAGGAAGGGAGGGAAACTAAGAAAAATGATATTTTAGTTTTTAAGCCTTTTTTTATTAAATTATCCAAGTTGGACTACCATAAAAACAAAGCTCACGTGTCGCTGACGTGTAGACGTAAGACGGAGGTTAATGGTATAGGTGCTACACGTGATTGTTCAATGTGAAATTTTACCTTATTATCATAAACTTGAAAATTGAAAGGTAAAAACTAATAACTTATAAAGTGAGGGGTAAAATGCCTCATAACCGAAATGTTGAAGGGCAGAGTGTGAGTTTTCGCTCGAAAAATTAGAGTGCAAACTGAATTGCACAATAGGGAAATTTTTTTTTTTTTTAAAGAACTAAATTACATTCCCTTTAAATGGGAAATTATTTTTTCACAAACTCTTATACAAATTCATGAAATTGTGGTTTAGTTAATATGGGAGTTGAACCCCTTACTAACTAAAGTTTAATTCTTTGAAAATGTTAATAAAAAGATAATTTCTTATGAATTCTCTAATTTTGATGTGAATGACTTATTTTTTAATTAAATCGAGAGCTAAATTACATTACACTTAAATGGGAAATTATTTTTTCACAAACTCTTATACAAATTCAAGAAATTGTGGTTTAGTTAATAAGGGAGTTCAACTCCCTTACTAACTAAAGTTTAATTCTTTGAAAATGTTAATGAAAATATAATTTTTTATAAATTTTTTAATCTTGATACGAATGATTTTTTGATTAAATCGACAAAGAATTAGTCTTAAAGTGTATATAAGCTAATTCAGGGACAATTTGATAACTAAACCAAAAGAAAAAAAAAAAACTTACACAAACTTTTATAATATATTTAATTTGAGAAAAACAAAAAAAAAGGGAATAAAAGAATACAACATCCTTCCATTTTTCTTCCTTTCCCTTCCCTTCTCTTTTCTCATTTAGATATGTGTAGGAATTCAAGCAACAAATAAAGTAAAGGTCTCCACTTTCCTCACTTCAAATTTTTTGCTAACCAAATAAAAAATTTTCATCCATTCTTTTCCGTAAACCAAACATACTATTACAAACTCTATTTTCATTTCTTTAGAAATAACATAACATTTTTTTCTTGTTCGTGCGAGAGGAGGTACTTCCTTGCATATCTATCGTCTTGGTAGGGAGTACTAAAAAATCTCTGGTAGAATTCATATGCGATTTTAATTTTGTCCCCAAATCATATAACATGGATATGATCCCAAAAGTTGACTCATGATCCTTGTTATACCCAAAAAGTAAGTCCTATAATAATTAGGACACGTGTAGACAATCTAGAGACAATCCTATCAATATAAGAATAGAATAAATCCTGATAGGATAAGAATACCCAAACACCAATTAAATAAAATTGTATTTCTAGAATAACTGTATCTAAGCATCCTATAAATACCTCTAGGATCAACCTAAGGAGGTAGATTATTTTCCACTATTATTCTCCCTCTATTGTAAACACTCTCTATCAATAAAGATCTTGGTCTCACACCATCTACTCTATTTTTACGGTTAACAATCCTCAACATATCCAATAACAGAGCAAGCCATTTTGAAGATTATTATAACTTTATAAGGCTACATATCTGATTATCAGTAATGTACACATGTCAATTACATTTTCTTCATATATTGAAGAGCATCTACTTTAAACAAAATGAGATTTTATTGCACCATTTTCTTCTGTATAAACCCGCAAACTATCGATTTACTTATGTGTACACAACAATTACAACAGCACCATTTGAAACGAAGGTTGTATATACACATATGGAAAACCAGCCTTGTTATCCAGCTTTACTCATGGTGGCCTTCTTTAGAAACCTTGATGATGGGGTTGGGGTGCTTAAATGGCTTTGGGTGGAAGAAGAGGCAGATAGCTGACATGTCATCCATTGCAATGCTTTGTCTCTTATATTTCCAGGCACGAGCAGCAAATTCCACCAATCTCTTGGCTGATTTTTCTCTATCCTCTGTTGAAGAAACAATCTTCACTGCTTCTTGATTGGAAATCACATCCCATACCTGGGTAGAAGCAAGCCATACCAACGAAAAAGAGTGAGTTCTTTTATGCAATAAAAGAGAAAGAATAATGTCAACAAGGCCTTACGAGTTTTCTGGTTCAAATTCTCATCCTGCAGTGTGTAAAATCATCACAAATTAAAGAAAATTGAAGAAATTGCATACCCCATCTGTGGCTAGAATGACAAACTGGTCTTTGTTTGTTATGTTTCTTTGGGTAACATCAGGCACAGAAATGAGTCCAAAGTCTTTTACGCAGTAATCTCCAAAGGCTCTTGATATTGCTAATCCTGGTGTCTCTGCATTTGGCATCCAGACCCTATAGACTCCTGGTTCATCTCTTAAACAGAACACTCTCCCTTTGGACTCTGTTATTCTCTCAGCTTCCTCTGTTACATTAACATAAACAAGAAACATATAGTTGTACATATACACAATCCAAAGAATGCACACAAGGATTCATAGAGGAAACAAGAGAGCCAACCAGGGATATTAGGCTTGAAATCAACCGTAAGTTGAAGTGGTACTAAGTTGCCATCATCAGAGGTTGTTGCCAGAACAGCTCGAGAATCACCAACATTTGCTATCACAAGATGTTCACCCTGATCATCATCATTGAAGAAATTCAATGAAACTGGTTTTGTGATGAGTTGAAACTCACTTCTAACCTCAAACATCCATTGTGAAAATTAAAACTACTTGAATCGTTTACCAAATATTTTGATGTGGAAATTTATTCCAGTTTTTAGGGGTAGAGAAACGACAAACAAGCATAGCAATCACAGGAATAATCCACAAACAAGCAAAACACAGATTGCTAAAAATTGCACAAACCACCATATAGAGGTAACATGGCAATTTTGTTCTTTCTCAAAGAAGAAATCAAGTTGCAAAATATACCTGTTTAACAATTGTCAAAGCCGTGGAACCACTGTGAAATGAATCAATCCTGCGATGCTGCTTAAGCTCTTCATCTATGGCAGCATATGTTTTCAAGTAAGATTGTTTCCACACATCAAACAGTCTAAGGTTCCTATCCGACTCCGTGTCCCAATCGGGCTCAAGTGAGGTTAAAGCAACAGTTTCTTGCCAGTTACACAACAAAGAAGAGGGCACTGATTCCCTCACCCTTTTAGCTACAATATGTCCCCAAGGTCCATGCCCATCAAAAATCCCACAGAAGATCATATCTTCTTGGCATCCAAATTCCTGAGAAAACCCATGACAAATTAACCCAAAATGAACAGGACAAAGCACAGAGAAACTCATACAAATTAAAAACTCAAATCCCATCAAAATTTCTTTGTTGTTTATATCAAATGATTCAAATATAGCTGCGTATTTGATCATTTCAAATGGGGTTTTTAGCATACCTCCCAAACAACTGTGCGATCCTGGTTAATTCCTTTCTGCCCTCGCTTGGAGCAAACAGAGGCAAAATTATCAGACTTATTGGACTTGACAACGCCGGACGAACTCCGCATCAACTCATTCTTCTTCGCGTCTTTTGCTAAGGCGTCTGCAGCTTCCCTTCCAACATCACTCCGACCCAGATTCCTCCCTTTCTTAATCGATACACTTCTCGCCAATCCATCAAAAAGCGACGGAAAGAGCACCATGGCCTCTACTCTCTGAAAACCCTGCAGTGCAATAACACAACAAAACTTTTTATTATGTTTAGTTCACGATTCGACAAACTAAGGACTCCATCTGGGTCGCCTAGAAACTGTTTGAAAAAATGAGAAAATGAAAACATAACGTTAAACCCACCAAAGAAGAGGATCCGCTCTGCAAAAATCTCACCTTTCCGATTAACAATCAGCTAAATAACTGAAATCTCTGATTCCCTTAAAAGCTTTGACGTCGCCAGCCGGAATGTGACGCTACCCGTTGAAACCAGCTGATGCTTGTAAATGAGAAGGCCTCAGCTTCCTTGTACTCCATATTTCTCTGCAATTTGCAGGCTTCTTAAGTGAACGTACGTAATGTTATAAGATATGGACATCTTTACAGCAATCGATCCAATTACCTTAATACCCTACCTTTGGTCCTCTAAACATACATAACCGAAGGGTATTTTTGACATTTTACATAACGGCATGGACCCACATCATGGGTCTTCCCTTTAAATGTACACTTAGTTTAAGATATCATTAAGAGAAAGGAGATTATCAATTCGCCAACGAAAACATTGGAAAGGAAGTCGGTCTCCAAATTATAATTTGATATTAACAAACTTATGATGGGTAATTAAATAAGATTGTGTTTGTGGTTAGGAATGAATAGGGATAAATATAGTATATCTTGAAGAGTGGTTAAATGAAATTGTTTGATTGTGGAAGGAAAGAAGCTTGTTGACTTACAAAGAGATGGTTAGTGCTTTAACTAATCATATTTAAGTCACTAATTTAATGGGTCAATTGTTTTTTTTTTTTTCTCCCCTAATTGAAGAGTATCTTATTTGTTTGTCTTGTAGGAGATAAGATAAATTTTTATGCTCCAATTTGAGGAACCAAACACATGTTTATCAATTAGGTGGTCGACTCATGGGACCATAGATGATGATGCATGATGGGCTCAATTTCTTCTCTATTGATCTCAAATTTTAATTTGGAAATAATGAGTCTAAGTTTGAAGAGTTGGATGAATAATATCTATTATTGTACTCACTTAAAACTTATCATTTAGAGGTATCATCTTAAAAGATTGACCATCTCATGAGGAAGATGAGGTTTATTTGTATTTTGTAGTAAGGAACAAATTTTTCTACCATTTGGTTAGGCCATCATGCCAAACTTAAAGGATTCGTGGACATGATCTCTTTATGGTTTCTCCCAATTGACCAAGTCAAACAATGTTTCATATGGCCTTTATAATATATCTTGGAATTATTTGATTCAATCCAACAGTTAGAGAGTTCAATTGGCATAAAGAAAAAAAAAAGAGAGAAAATTTAGAAAATGTGCATGATTGGTGGTATAATTGTGGACTTGGGAAGTTGGGACCCAAGTATTGCTAGATTCTGGTTGGAGAATGGAATTAACTAGAATGTCAAGATGATGGCTAGACATCATTTCAAAGATTTGAGTTGGAAGATGTCTCTGTTGAGGTGGGTGGGTTCCATTACTTTGGAGGGCGAAAATGGTAGGGGACTACTGCATTCAAATTCTGTGGTGGCTGTTGCTTCCTTCTAATTCTATGCATGTCAAAAGGGCCATAATGCTTTTGCCATTTGGATTTGTGGACTTGCGGATTTGCGTAGTGCGCCTAATTCTTGGTGATATTCTTCTCAATTGTGAGATTCGTGTCTGTCCAATTTTGTGGTCACTAATCATTCTTTTTTTTTTTTTTTTTTTATTTTTAT